CTCTATCCTGCGCTTACACTGCCCTTACACCGTCCTTGCACTGTCCTCACACCGCCCTGACACCGCCCTTACTCGCCCTTACACCGTCCTTACACTGCCCTTACACTGCTTTTACACTGCCCTTACACCGCCCTTACACCGTTCTTACACCGCCATTACACTGCCCTTACACCGCTCTTACACTGCCCTTACACTGCCCTTACACACCGCTCTTACACTGCCCTTACACTGTCCTTACACCGCCCTTACACTGTCCTTACACCGCCCTTACACTGTCCTTACACTGTCCTTACACTGTCATTACACCACCCTTACACTGTCCTTACACTGTCCTTACACTGTCGTTACACCACCCTTACACTGTCCTTACACCGTCCTTACATTGTCCTTACACTGCCCTTACACTCTCTCAGGGATAAACTCAGAGGCATCTATTGCAAGAGATTCAGAGCAGAGTATTCTGGGTGATTCACAACAGTTGCCAATGGCAAATGATGAGGAAGTCTGTACAGATCAGATAGTCAGGCCATTTATCTCAGTGGATCTACAAATCAACAACTTAACATTTTAAAACAAAAAGATATTCTAGTAAAACATTGAGTTTCAGTGCAGTTGCCAATGGTTGTATCAAAGAAGACAAAAGAATGACAGACCAAGTTCTTAGCTCAGGTAAATTGTAGTTAATTTCAACAAACCGAGCACTCCAGTTAATATCAGATAACACACAAACAAAGATTGAAGGATTGAATTCAGGATCTTGAATAGTAAACAGCTGTATTCCTTAACTTTTGAAATATTTCTCACAGTCCTTGGAATTATGTAAAAGGCAGATGACTAGTAACTTGTTTTCATTCTCACTTCAACGTGAAACATCCGATATAATACTCCAGGCATGATATTAGATTGACAATGTTAAAAAGAACTTCTGTCTAAAGAAAATTCTTATTAATTTGCTGAAAGTAGTATGTGATCTTCTCTGATCAGTCAACACTAACTTCTTTATTATTTCCCTCGGTTGTGCATCAAGAAGATCACACAAATCTACAGTATCCAATGTCGTATTACCTCTTAGCACACTCTAGCACTTACACTGCCCTTACACTGCTCCTACACTCCTCTTACACTGCCCTTACACTGCTCCTACACTCCTCTTACACTGCCCTTACAAGTTATATGTGCAGAAAATTCTTATTACTTTGCTGCATTCTTGCTGAGATGTAGAAAGTATCTATGACAAATTTAGTCTTTATTGCAAACGTCATGGCTCACCCCAGAGTGATCCAGAGATGGGTGGGTTTTCAGTACTTACAGCTGTCCTCATCCTCAGTGAAAATACTGATCACATAGCAGGCGTACACAAAACCAATCAGCTGTAGGAAGAACAGACAAAGAGAATCCAAAGTTACATCCTGAAGTATTTTTCAATATATCCTACAATCCTTGGAATATAACTGACTGGCTTCCCACACCCAATTCTTATTATTTATTAATCTTTTATTTATTCTAAAAAAAAATAATGCAGAGGCTAGGATAAAACATAGCATGGTGAGTCCAGTTGAATTTCTGGTCAATGATAACCCCTGGAATGTGATACTGAGGCGTTCAGTGATGATAGCACCATTGAATATATTAGGTTAATTCTCTCTTGTTGGAGATGGTCATTGCCTGGCATTTGTGTGGCACGAATACTCCACATGAACATGGACTGCTTCAGTATCTCAGGAGTCACGGCTGTTGCTGAACATTGTTCAATCATCGGTAAACATCCCCACTTCTCAGCTACCCTTACTGAGCAGCTTGCTGGCCATTTCAGTGGACAGCTCAAAGTCAACCACATTGCTGTGCACATGAAGGCAGGTGTAGGCCAGACCAGGTAGGGAAAAGTCTCTCATTAGAGAGAGAGGTCTGTTGGTGATGTTAATCTGAGAATCACCGTGCCTCAGGCAAGGAGAGAAGTTGAGAAGGAGAGTCCTTCATCATAACCTTAGCCAGTGCAGGAAATTGAATTCATACTTTTGACATCACAAACCAGCCATCCAGCCAATTGAGTTAACCGACCTTCAAAGAGCATTAATTGGCTTGATAATAGTTCCACAGTTATCATTGGCAAGCTTTTAATTCTAGATTCTTTGTACTCAAATAATACCATCTGGCAATGTGAGATATGAAATGATGTCTCCAGGACATTAGCCTGGGGATCTGGATACTTGGTCCATTTACATTACCAGCAGGCCACCACCATTGCAGGAAAGGGGAGTTCAGGCCACAGTCAAAGCTAGGGCCAAATAACCTCCTCCTGCTCCTATTTCTTTTGATCTTGTCAGAAATCACACAACACCAGGTTACAGTCCAACAGGTTTATTTGAAATCATGAGCTTTTGGAGCGCAGCTCCTACGTCACCAGTCTTTGTGACTTCTGACTTTGTCCACCCCAGTCCAAAACTGGCACCTCCACACTTTGATCTTGTGTAAGATGTGAATTCTATTTTGCACTCCGTAAAGACACAAGTCCAATTTCACCCTACGTTATCATTAAACATACAGAACTAAAGTAAGATCATTATTCAAACCTTACCCTTAACTAACATTTTTAAAGTATTTTAATGATCCTTGAATAATTAGCACTTCTTTCAAAAACAGTGCTGCTCTGCCTAAAACACATCTTAATTATTTATGATGCTCTTCCTAATTCGCATCTTCAAAGGCAGACATAAGCAAACTTATTTTTTTAAATTCAGCTAAGTGCAACTTCTCTTTGAAATAATATGAAATTACGGAGCACATTTGCATCTAGTTTTCACATTCAGTTATTAATGCCATTGCAGATTTTCTTTAAATTGTTGACACTCAACCCTGTCAGTAATGCATAATGTGATACATACAGTATCTACAGAATGAGTCACTGTTCATTGGGCAATTTCCCAATTAGTATCGTGGGATTTGTTTCAATCATTGGATAATGTTTTAATTACAAAAGACTGTTAAAGCCCTGTTCATGTTCCAGCAATGGCAGCCTCACTTATATAATGCAAAACTATACCAAATTCCATCATTTTTGTGAGAAAATGGAATACTCTGAGGCAGATCGAGGTCAAGTGAATAGTCTACAAGCTCATTGTAGATATTATTGCCTAGCTGTTAATATTAATGAACTGTTGCCAAGATTAACTGTTACTTTTGGTTGGATTCACTTACAAAGGTGGTTAAATGCCCATTTTACTATTTCTTTGAGCTGTTCTGAAATACCCATCTTAAACGCTTGCATAACAGGCAATCTAATGAAACAACAGAATCAATTGTATTGACAAGCTTTGAAATATGATTATGAGACTTTTCTTCTCCTGGCGATCTCTGTCCAAAGGCAGGTGCAACAGTGCCACAACATTCACCCTGTGTAGGCAGCGACGCAGGTCCTGACCACCCCACACACAGAATGGTGATCAAATCCTGTGCTGTATGAAGCTACCAGCAGTTCAGCCAACTGAGCTAATCAACTCCCCAAAGAGCCCAAGTTGCTGCGGCAACAAATACTTTCCATGCAATGGCCTAGTGGTATTATCGCTGGACTGTGAATCCAGAAATCCAGGTGATATTCTGAGGACCCGGGTTTAACTCCTGCCAGGCAAATGGTGGAATTTGAATTTAATAAAATATCTGGAATTAAGAGTAAAATGATGACTATGAGTCCATTGTTGATTTCGGAAAAAACCATCTGGTTCACTAATGTCCTTTAGGGAAGGAAACTGCCATCCTTACCTGGTCAGACCTACATGTGACTCCAGACCCACAGGAATGTGGTTTACTCTTAGCTGCCATCTGGGTAATGAGAGATAGGCAATAAATGATGGCCCAGACAGTGATGCCCACAAACTGTGAATGAATAAAATAAAACATTGCAGCCCATACTAGTGATGGTACCGGCTTCAGTCTTTTTCTACCACATTGAGCAAGACTCTCTCCCACTCCTAGTGCCTGCCGATGACTAATGTTGAAAGGACTTACGAGTTGATACCCAACTTGCGTCAGTTATGAGCGCAGCTTCCATGGCCGTCAGGTCTGGTCTGGCGCTCGAACTCTTAGCTTTGAGGTGGAGATGCTATCCTCTAAATTGGACACTGCCATCAAAACCTCATATGGGCATTTCATACAGCTTCAATGGTAAGGGCAAGGGCCAGGACAGCACTTTCCTGAGCAATATTAGAAGAATTGAGCATTGTTGAGAGAGAAAACCCAGGTGTATTGGACTAAGTTACGACTGAAATGAGTGGAGGATAATGACCACCAATCTCCAATGAGCACCTGCTGTGGCTGAAATGATAGGAAAGGAGAATGTAATATTCAGAAACACGAACGGCATTTTTTAAAGTCATCAGAACTACAGAGAAAGTTACTTGATTAGTCATGAACTAACTCCAGAGAGGTCGGTATTCCATCACACAGTTACCCTTTATTTACACATGCAGAGTTGTTGATTTTAGTGCTGCCTCATTCAGAGTCTGGTACCAGAGTGTCAGTTGGTGCTGTACCATTTCACAAACTGGACTGGTTTGATGATTCCTTCACTTTCCAGAATACTGATTTCTGCCTCTACATATGCCTGTAAGGCACTAGACAGGCCTGCAGAATCGCAAAATTGTCTCCTGGTCAACATGCAAGGTGGTTTTGGCTCCTCTGATAGTCCCTGGACCTTCCTGGAAGATGTCACTCAGGCTGCCATTCTCTAATTGAAAAATGTTGTGCCAATCAAGGTGAATTTCTTATAACCAATTTTGCCCCATCAAGCTTGGGCCTGAGCCTTTTACTACAATTTTCTGAAGAAGGGTCTAGGCCCGAAACATCAGCCTTCCTGCTCCTCTGATGCTGCTTGGCCTGCTGTGTTCATCCAGCTCTAAATCTGCCTATTTAACCAGATGTTTATTTTGATTGGTTCTGATTTTGATGTTGCTATGCAACTTATCTGTTCTGAACCAGATGGAGGTGGACTTTCCAGGTTATGAACTCTCCTGGGTACCCTCCTGGATACCAACCTATGAGTTATCTAACTCAATTTAGGTCTTTTGCTGTCTCAAGTCTACATACTGGCAACATCTACAATGGCTGGCCAGCCAGGATCCTGAAGAAAATTTTAACCGTTTGGTCTAGGCTTTGCTTTGTTTTGGGGTTTTGCTGTGGGCTGACCAAGGGTCCATCTGATAAGGATGTGTCCTGAGTGAGGCTATGCAATTGCCTTCACACAAGTGGTGTTCCCCAAGCTCAGTCAGACTGGTGAGGGTGTCCACTTCCATCGAAATACCCTGCAACTCATACGCTCTACTTGCTGCAGTTTCCAACAATAAAGCCATTTGTAGAATCTGAATTTGAAGTCTAGTTGGTCTTCAGCTAGTACGCATTTATGCATAGTTACATCATTAATCCCACATACCAGACTGTCTCTCAGCACCTGATTAAGGGTTAAACCCAAAGTCACAGGCTTTTGCCAGCTGTCTTAAGCTAGTCAGAAATCCCAATACGGATTCCCCATTTCTCAAATTGCTGAGTAAAAATGATAGCATCTCAGAATTAGAGGAGGCTTGGGGTTGTAATATTCCTTAACTAAATCCATCAACTCTTGAAAGGTTTTAGTATCTGGTGCCTCAAGGAAAAATGGCTCCTAATAACAGAAAAAGCTGTAGTTCCATAGACTGTCAGGAGAATTACTCATTGTTTTTTATCTGCTGCATTTATTGCCTGGAAAAAGTAACACATTCTTTCCACATACTGGGCTGAGACCTCAACGACAGTGTCGAATGAGTCAAGCTTCCCGAAAAAAGGCATAATGTAAGAAATGCTTACCCCCAACTTGAAGACAACTGTTGCGAACAAGTTTCTTCAGGGATGTGCTTTACTCCTGCCACTACTGAAATAACTCTACAGAGGCCCATATCCCATCACCAAGTCACCCTTTATTTACACATGAACAGTCCTTGACTTTAGCACTGCCTCATTTAGATTCAGGTACCAGAGTGTCAATCTCTCTGACACTCACCCATTGACCAGGTCTCTACCAGGGAACTCACATTCTATGAGGTCCAGCTGGCTGACCTCATTACAATTACTACAAGCCTCCTTATTATTCGACAGGATAAGCTCTGGCTCGAAGAACATGCATAAAACCATCCTCTCTGCCAACAGTATTGCTGTTCAATGCTGAAAGATGCAGTGCAATAGAATGGATTGTCTAGATGTATCGAGGAAATAGGACCTAACTGCACAGATGAAGAGTAACAAGTGTTGATAACAGGTGGGAAGCCCACCTCAAGGCAGTGATTCACAATGTATTTTAGTTGCCTAAACTTGGCTCTTAAGCAGCTTAATAGTCATGCAGAAAGCA